ACCGTAACCAGGAAACTGGGTCACATAGGTCCTGTTAGGCTCCCTGGCTGGAGACCTCGGGATGATCGTAACCGATGGTTAGCTACACTGAGCGATATGGCTGGGTGTCGTAAACAGTGGCGTTCGTGCATCTCCTCAATTTGTTTCCAACCTTAGACCACTGGACTTCTCCCTTTTCTTTTCGAATCCACTTTCCACTTTCCTTTCTTCTCCTATTCTTCATCCCACTGGGCAGCCAAAAGACAGCAACCAAAACCGGCGCACGAAAGTGCATTGTTAATTGTTGTTCAAACTGAAGACTGAAACTGAAAACATAATGCCCCGGTAGGTTAGGTCGGGTTAGGCTAGGTTAGGCGTGGTATTGAACCGGACGACAGCGAAGCTAGCTTCTCGGAAATTTGGGTAGGGGCGTTGCTCGAACGTGGGGCCATAGGGTCCAAAGCATGTCGGTGACAGTGACTAAACCACTGCGCCCCCTCCAGTGTGATTGAGCGTTTTTTCCGGTTGTATTAATTTGTGGGTCCGTGTGTGTGTGTGTGTGTGTGTGTGTTTGTTGTCGATTTATTCGGTTGTTTGTATGGTGGTTGGTGGTGATGCTGCTGGTGTAGTTCGGATTTATTCTTGCTGATTCTGCTTGTGTTCTGTATGTGTATTGTTTTGTTTTGGTAATTCCTGGCGTGCATTGTTCTCTTTCTGTGTTCAAATCTCGTTTATTGGATATTCGCACGTGGATCTGTGAGAGCTCTGGCTATGCTGTCGGAGCTGTTGTGTTATTCTTTGTGCGTAAATTGAAATTTGGCGGGAGTTTCAAAGGCCATTTGGAGATTTGCTATCGCTCCAATTGGTAAGAGGAGCATTCCACATTTGTTGATGAGCGTATTTGTGTTTTACGGGTTTTGTTACGTTCGTGCTCTTGACTTGGTGTTTAATAGATAGATAGATGTATTGTTTTGTGATGGCTGCGCCGCAATCTCTGCGAACAGTTGCTTTTCCCGCTTGACTGTTCGTGTACAAGCGTTAGCGCGACAAGAATGGTGCTATCCTCGGTTGTAATCAAGGCCCTTCTGACCATGTGGTCACACTGGGTAGTCCGAGACCGACAATGTCTTGATATTTCGATTGTTCTTTCCTTTAGTATTTGTCTCTGTCGTTTGTGATGATGTGAGATGAGTTTCTTCTGTGTGTCGCTCGGTTTGTGTGTGTGTGTGTGTGCGTGTGTGTCTGTCTGTCTGCGTGTGTCTATTTGCTTTTTGTCTTGTTTATTCATATGATCGAGAGGTTGGGATGGCTGTTCTCCCCTGTGACGTAAGGATCCGACAGTTTCGTGTGTGTGTGTGTGTGTGTGTGTGTTTGTTTTGGTCGGAATGTGTTTTGTGAGTATGATTGACGATGTGCTTGTTGGGTAGATGTATGGGATTTTTTTGATTGGTTGACTTGTTTATTTTGGTTTGTATTTTTGTATTGATTGTTGGTTTATTTTTTCAAAGATACACCTTAGTGTGATGAAGAGGATACCGGGCGAACCGCATAGTCACTGGTACCTGCTGTTTAATGGCGGAAACCGTAACCCTAATCCCTGGGACTTTGATTGGCGAACCGCATAATGTTTGAACACCGCTGTGTACGCAGCATTGCACGTGTCTGGTGGGGTAGCCGGATGAGCAATGCTGAGGTTGGGGGCAGAGTTTTGGGTAAATACGGTCGCCCACTGGAGCAAGTGGTCGACCTCCATAGATTTTGTTGGCTGGGACATGTGTTACGCATGTCACCAGGTAGGTTACCACGGCGAGCGATGTTCGCCGAAGCAGATACCGAGTGGAAAAAAGCCAAGGGTGGTCAAGTCAAGACGTGGCACGAGGGTATGAAAACCGTAACCAGGAAACTGGGTCACATAGGTCCTGTTAGGCTACCTGGCTGGGGACCTCGGGATGATCGTAACCGATGGTTAGAGACACTGAGCGATATGGCTGGGTGTCGTAAACAGTGGCGTTCGTGCATCTCCTCAATTTCTTTCCAACATTAGTCCACTGAACCTCTCCATTTTCTTTCCGAATCCACTTTCAACTTTCCTTTCTTCTCCTATTCTTCATCCCAATGGGCAGCCAAAAGACAGCAACCAAACCCGGCGCACGAATGTGCATGGTTAATGGTTGTTCAAACTGAAACTGGTTTGGTTGCTGTCTTTTAGCTACTCATTTGAATAAAAGAGCAGAAGGTAGATTGGAATGGGTTGAGCAGATTCAAACAGAAAATAAGAAATTCATATCGACTGGGGTTACAAGAACACTTTATATCCCAACGTGATATTGTTCCTGTCCGCTGCGTACACACCTCAAGACATTGACTGTCATTTCCTGGGATCAAGATCAAACAGTGATCAACCTGCAACCCAAATCTGAATGTGACTGAGAACTTGCTCGCGTGGCTTACAATGCTTTCATGGCTTACCAGCTAATGAGTAGATCACTCATCGTCGTTGAAAGTGAATAGACCGATATTGACCCTGAGATAAACACAGATCTTGTAAGAAGTATGCTGGGGTGATGTACTGAAATCATCAAACAGAATGTGGTTGCACACAATTTTAAGTGATACCTACAGAATCCGAGCTCAGGGTATCTTGCAATTCTATCCCTTTTTATTTCCTAATTTCTTCGCTTTACTTAGCACATAGTACGTAGTTTCGTTCTGAAACTCGGTATACCATATTGTACCGTGCATTTGTTCTGACCAGATGTCTTCGTTAGAGGTAAAACAGTGGGGATCCCATACTTTTGTCACGCACTGTTAGAACCTGGCAGTATACTGAGTTGGTTGAACACTTCGGTTCACTTCATATTCTCCTTTTTTGAACAGGTTCCCATCCGCTAAACCTTGCGTTGTTTCCTGGGATCGCATCGGGATTTAGATCGTTTAATGACTTCCGTTGTGTGATCTTCACGATTATGGTCGTTCTTTACAATAAGTTAAAGCAACGCATTGAGTAAGAATGCTTCTCTTTGGACCTAGTTAGAATAGAACTGCTAGTGGTCATACGGTTTCCTTGTTCATATAAATTGGTGTAGTAGGAAGTTTTCAGTCAATTATTTTTATTTTTCACTTTCCCTAGTGGGTGTGTTTTCGGTCTTTCACTTGATGTATTTCTGTTATTTTCTAACAGCTATTTGTCAGCTTCAAGCCTAAAGGAGCGCTTGCAAGAAAAAGGAGTCTTTCACCATGCCTTGGGCCTTCCCTGTCGGGTGAGTGCTAAACTTCTTGCTCCATTTTTTTCATTGCACATTGTACAAGTTAAAGCTCAAACTGTGACTACAAATACCACCCCTGCTTTCATAATGATAGTCAAACAGCTCAAGCCACTGTTATTACTGTGTTCCAACGTAAGGTTTTAACTCTGACACCGACAGTTTCGGTGTCATCTGGCTGAATATCACACCTCTTATTGGTGCGTTATATGTCTCGCCACTAGAACTCCTCAGGCTTTTACTCCTGCCGGTTATCATAAGTGATCACTGAATACTCGTATCAATGTTTTTCAGCTCTTCTACTATTCCTGCCATTGTAGTTTTTTATTATACATCTAAGTTTGATGAACAGCAGACG